CCCGCGCGTGCGGCGGTCGTGGCGACGGATGCCTCATTAGGGCGGTCAACGCGGTCGGCGCGGTCGAGGCGGTCGAGGTGCAGGTTTTCGCGCAGGTTGCTGAGAGAGCGCTCCCGGCTGAGAAGGGTGCGGGACCTATACGATGAGAGCATGCATACTCGGCCCCGTGCCGGAGCCCACACTTGACGGCGCAGCAACGGGCCTGCCTATAGCTATGAGGTCCAGAAGACGTTCCGCAGGACTCTGCGATTCAGGCTCGCGCATTGGTTCCGACCGCGTGCTCCCACTGTGGCTCCCTGTCTCTGCATCGGACACATCTTCCCTGCGGTTTCTCGGAAAAACCGAGTCAAACCGAGAGTAATTCCGATCGCTCCCTGTGCTTATAAGGCTAGGTGCCCACATACTTGGCCCTTCTAGCATGGCCTCCGGGAATAATCCGTCGGACAGGGCTTCGAACTGCGAGGTCGCCGTGGGGCGATCCGCCCCAGGCTCAGTCTCAGACATATGGAGTCCACTGGCATCGTCCTCCTTCTCCATCTGCTCTTCCGCCTTCCGCATCCCCGCCACGTGCACGGCACTATCGCAATGGCACGATGCGCCCGGGCTCGGTGGCGCAGGCCGCTGATCCCATATGACCAAGCCCGTCTATTAGCCTCCAAGCTTTAAGCTGCATATAGGGATTAGTGGCGAACATGTCGTGCTGCGGCACAGACAGGTCAGAGGGCAGTGGCAGCGGAGACAGGTCGAGGGCGTCGTCGTGCGTCGACGTCCTCCGCGCGGGACCCGACCTCATGAACTCGTCGAACATGATACGGCGCCAAGTCTGGCAACTCTGCTCGGGGGCGGTCCAGGTGCTCTTCAGGTGCAGCTCGTGCGGAGGTCCGGCGGTGAAACGTGGAAGAAGACGCAGGAGGACGACTCCTGATGGCGGTGTCGTCCAACGCCCCATGGAGAGTCGAGTAGCTGCTCGACGCAGAAGCTGCAGCCACGGCGACAGCCGGCCGGCGAGCGGGAACGGGCGATGGACGAGAGGTGTTCTCTGTGTCTGCGAGCAGCTGCGCCACGCGCTGCCGACGCTCATGAACGTCGCGAAGAGTCCGGTCGATAGAGCGTATTTCTCGGGCATGATCCCTATGCCACCAGGAATCATCAGTCGCAGTTGGGACGGCAGAGAATGAGGAAGGTCGGCTAGATGACGCAGGTACAGTGGGTGCGTGAGACCGTCGGCGCTCATTCATACGTGGGGATTCAGAATGAAGAAAGGTTGGGTACGAGGACCGGATATCCTCCAAATTAAATGCGAGCATATCGTCGTAATCCAATGTGGCAGATGTGAACTGTAGACTAGTACACTGGAGGAAGACAAGTGGCGCACATACCTCCACGATATCCTCCGAGCCGCAGAGACTCCCCACCCGGCTATAGAACTCTGCGCCGTTTCTCTCAGACGCGCGATGTAGGGCGATGATCTGACGAGGTTGCGTCAGCGACGTATCCGCATCAGGAGGAACGCGCAATAGTACATACCTCGATCCTGAGAAGGTATTCGCTTGATTTGATGTTTTTCGGAAGGACGAGGTTATAGGGCGAGCCACCATCTAAACGAGACGTCTCATCAACCTGGCTCAGTAGGAGCACGCAAGCAAAACTTACGGATGTCCTTTTGAACCCAATCGTTAGCGGTCCCTGGCTTGAGCCCGGCTTCGTCAATCATGAACCAAGGAGTGTTCATGGTTGGTTGGGACTCGGTGCACGGTCCTTGGCAATCGGTCATATAGGCCATCATAGGGCCGGCTTCATGTGGCCAATTCTGCCATGCTCGATCAATATACTCGTCTCATGTAGGGAACCAAAGACCAGACGAGCGCACGTACGCCCTCCAAACCGCCTGATTTCCAACTGAAGCTCAATTCGCTCCCCGGATCGGCCAGTGCAGTCTCCTTTGCGACAGCCGCCTTCAGGCCACACAGCAGGGCGGGATTGGTGGCAACTAGCACGGGGCCCACGTCTTCATCGCCTCTGAGCCGGATGGGAGTTGTTACTAGCACAAGCATGCATATCAACACATTGCATCAGAGCTACAATTCTTCACAGGGGGGCTTACAATTCTGGGGATTCGTGGGATTGTCTCCCTGGTAGCTCTTGCCGTTGGCGACAAGCGTTTGAAGAGACCCATGACATGCCACCAAACCGAAGAGCGGCATGACTGACAGAGCGAGACTTGAAAGGTGGGGACGCATCTTGGAAGCTGGCCAGAAGCCGGACTTCTAGTAACGAGAAGAAGGAAAGAGCAAGAACAGTGAGGTTGAAGGTGTTGGTACAGGGCCTAATCTTTTATGTCAACCTGAGGGTTACAAGAGCATATGGCGGCCAGTGCCGCGGTCATAACAACAACGAGGGTCAGGAATACCGCTGGGACTTGAACACAATAAGAATTAAATATGGAGGTTACGTGGGCAGGGGTAGTGGGAAGTAGACAACCACAGAATATCTATGTGATCGCGTGCCCTCTGTTAGATGTCATCTGCAAGTCGAGCACCCTTACTGATTGAGCCTGAACTGCGTTAACGAACAACGTAGTACTACACAAGTTCGACTTCGCCACGAAGTAGTAGTTGTTCGATGACATAGTAAGGCGTGAGGGAGGTCTGTCCTTTCTGCATTTCTGTCGAAGAGCCACTGCGAGTCATGGGTAGTCAGTCAACATGTTAGAGATCACGGTTAGTCAAAGGACCTACTCGGGCAAGCGCATAGGTGGACAGTCGACCAAGGCATGCGCGAAGACTGGTCGCAGCGTGTTCGGTGCTGGTACTGTGACGCAGGTGGCACCGAGTCAGTAAAATATATTTGTCATGGTTGAGAAAGGACGTACTCATAGGTGGCATGAACGCTACATCCTCGTCTAGTGACCGTTGCTGTGGCGGTAGGCTCTGGAGAACAGCTTGTGTAAAATGGTATTCTACCAACCGCGCATACCTGGCGCCTCTTAAGTACGCATTCCTCAGACAACCGTCACCAGAGATACGAACCGTTGCGCGTGCTCCAGTTCAGCTTTTGATAGCCTCTGGTGTATTTCAGGGGTTCTGGTGATATACTTCGCGTACTTCTCGATCTATTCCCGGTACTGGTTTGCAACAAGTCTGGACGACGCCACACATAAGTGATACATACCTTGTGCAATCGAGTCCTGACATACGACCGAATGACAAACTTGACCCGTTCAATCTCGGTCTGTACGAGCATTATGCGAAAATGTTCCTCCTCTGAGGAGTCTGGGTCGGCACGGAGCAGCTCGACATCGCTGGACTAGAGCTAAATGCCATCAGCCACAGTCGATCCTCGAAAACTGCACGCTCACCTGTTTCCGAATATGATCGAGCAACCGTCCCAACAGCATTTCCTGGCCGGGCAGGATGTCCGGAGCGTGTCGTTCGTTCATCCAATGGCGTATGAGCTGCTGAAATGGCGTCTCTTCCGCCAGATCCTGTGGGAGAGGCGCCGCACGACCGCCAGAAAAGTCGTCTGTGATCGTGAAATCGTCGTCTTCGGGAGCGTTGCGAGCGCGATCGATGAATGAGGGGCCCGCCATAGGCGCACCAAAGTCGTCTTGCCAGGGAGCGGCCATGATAATAGATGATGTTTGTAGAGATTGGTCGGGAAAGATACTTAGAGGTAGGAAGCAAGTCGCGTCGAGGCGCGATCGCGTTCAACGACGCGTCCAATTGTGGCGCTTCTTCAAGCGCCCATATTAAACCTGTACGATTTAGAATCACAGGTCGATTCGTTCAAGTGGGCCATTACGAAACAATCCTCAAACGGTAGAGTGGGTGTTCATGGGTAAGTACAACAGTTTGAGTGGCCCACGTGTATTGATGGACAATTCAACAGGTATGTACAGTACAGTTCGACCCACAGACAGCACAGTCACCACACTCATACAACAAGGGTTATATGTCCCAATCATCGCACCGCACCCGCCTGCTCTAGCCCTCCCAGTCGTCGTCGTCCTCATCTCGTCGCGACCGACGAACGTTCCCGCCCTCCTCCTCGTCCTCCTCGACGTCCATCTCGCGTTCTTCCTCCCCATCCTCTTCCTCTTTGTCCTTCGCACCGGCTTTCTTCCTCCTGCGCCTAGGAGCGGGCTTGTCTCCGCCATTCGCGTCCCCAGCTCCCTTCTTTTCCTTGCCCTTCCCGCGCTTCCTGCTCCGCGCTTCAGCGTTCTCAGCCTCTACGTCGATGGTGCCACCCGCGGATGGGTCGGGGACAGCTTCTACAATCTCCTTCAGGAAGTCAAGCATGTCAACCGTATCAATAGCATGCTTGCTGTGCGTGCGAAACGGCATGGAACGTGAGCGAGACAGAGAGTCAGCAGAAACGGAAAGTTTGGAGTGAAAGCATGAGGACGGACAGATGGTATGCCTCAACCCTCCTCGATCCTCTCTCAACCGTAACATTGCTCGCCTCCTCCACAATCATGGCAAGGAATAACTCCAGGGCCTTTGCTATTGGGTGTGAGCAGAACGCGAAGTCACATGGGTGTGCCGCACAAACGGGTAATAAGGGAGAGAGGACACATAAGTGAGTACGAGATGCCCGCACTTGCAGTAGCATGGTCGAAGGATACACACATATAACGACTGGAGTAGCTTGAGCCACTTTCCCAACCTCCTCATCCTTCTGCATTATGCGCTTGATTCGCGCCTTCATTGTTACACATTCGCAAGTTCATAGAGGAAAGCGTGCCACGGTAGAATGCATTGGTGAGCATTCAGACTATACGGTGATGACACGATGTACCACCGGGAATTTAGTAGCTTTGTTCTTGTTCTTCATAGTGTTCTATATGAGTAGAGAATGGGATACCGCAATAGTGAGGTGAGCTGGCAAGCCGAGTATGTATGTAGCAGTTGCGTCGAAGTTGCAGAAACCCAAGCTTAGAGGTGGGGCCTTTTGTGGGAGCTACGCGTACAGCTTGTATAACAATGTAAAAAACATGTCATACGCCGATGGTGAAGTGGTTATCATGCTTGCCTTCCATGTTGGTAGCAAGCGGCACGGGTTCGATTCCCGTTCGGCGTATTCTACAGACCGGAACTCTTTTTGCAACGCCCTTTGATCCGGCGCCTGAGAAATCAGGTCTTTGACTCTCAGTTGGTCTTCGAAGTCCTCCTCTTTACTGAACACTACTTCTCGACCTCGATCACTACAAACGTCCATCATGGGCCTCTCCGATCTTTCTAATGGCCGTAGACTCCCACCAACGAAGAGGAGGAAAATTGTACACCCCGACAGCACTGTGGTTTCCTCACCCGTACTCTCCATCCCCTACAGTCCCAGGGGGCTCATGTGTGTCTCCTGCCATCGTGCATTCGCCGGAGCGAAGCAGAACCAACTCATCCAATGTGATCGGTGCGTCTGTGGTTGTACTCATCCACCAACGTTTCTCTGATCGTACTTCAGATGCCACGCCCCGACCTGTGCCATATGCTCTCGGACGTGTAACGGCTGTCCCCCTTCTACGCCACCCACGCCGGTACTCACCTCATCCCCGAGTCTGCCTGATACGCCTTTGGTCTCCCCATTCCCGGCCTTGAGACGTCCTGTGCTCGCTATGAACACCAATACTGCGCTGGGCCCCACTCCGCCACCAATTGCGGGCCGACGAAGGAAGGCGCGTGATCGTGAAGAGGAGGAGGGCGGAAAGGCGGACGGTCTTCTGGCTGAAACGGAGGAAGGCGTTTTGCCAGGATGTGGGAGGACAGTGTGTCGGAACTGTGCGACCGAGAGCACTCAAAGGTGCGTGCCAATTCTTGTCTTGCGGTGGTTGAGTGGTTGTTTGCTGGGCGCGTTGGTGACACTCTTCTGTCTGCATCTGCAGTGAACTCATAACGTGCTACGACTGTGCTGGTCGCTCTTCTGCAGCGCCTTGAGCGCTCGTGCTCTCTATGGTCTAAGATCTCCTCAGTCCTGCCCAAGCTCCATAATGTCTACCACAATTTATTGTCCCTTCCGTGCTGTTTTGTACTGTATTTCTATCTACCCAAGGATCTCTACACTTTTACGTTGCATTCTGCCCGTATCTGCACCTGCTATAACTGCCATCATGACCAACCATACCTCCCAAATGCATAATGGTTGTTATCTATCTCTGCATGGTCTTCTACTTAATGTATGGGGTTCTGCCCCGCAATGGACGTCGACGACAATGCTCTGATCAACATCAGTGGTGACTCTTGTCCCATTGCAGATTTCCTCTGGTAACCTCGTGCGGTTATGTCATGGCGAAGTTGGCCCTGGACTCGGATGCTACTATGTTAACGCAGATATAGTCCGTGTGCCGTGTGAGGCAAACGCATCATCTACAGTGTAGCACACACGCGTGCATGTCGCCGACACAAGGTCGACACCATGTTACCAGTGCAGGCAGACCTAGACGCGTCGCGTGTGTCACGGGGCTCGAAGCGTCACGATCACATGGTCGTAACGTTCGGGACACGCGTCGACTCCACTCCGATCGCGTTTAAGGTTTGTATGCGGTTTGTCTTCGTACTACCACCATCTCTTTGCTTCTGACTATCGGCTACCATACAAAAACATTGTATACATGACGTAGATGATTGAACTGGTTGTCAGGTCAGTACAATGGCTGAACTCGCTTTGCTCTAGGAGCCTTGAGCTGACGGAGTGACCCTTCAAGCTATGCAGACAAATAGCGATCGGCATGACTTGGTCGGTGGACCATTCGCAGTAATTGAATCTGACCCTGGCGTCTTTACAACACTCCTACGCAAGCTGGGCGTGTCCGGACTGGAAGTAACGGAACTCTACAGCGTGGAACCGTTTGCAACAGACCATCTGAACCCGTACGGCCTGGTCTTCTGCTACCTCTGCGAGGACGACTCCGCTCTGAAGGACGAGTACGAAGGCAGCAGTGACCTCGATGATCCGGATGCTCGCTCGATATGGTTCGCGAACCAGCTCAGCGACGACGCCTGTGCTTCCCAGGCCATCTTGAACGTCCTCTTCAATTGTAAGGGCGTAAACCTCGGCCGCCAACTCCGCGAATTCGCCGCGGACACGGAGAAGATGTCGCCAGTGGTCAGTGGGCCACATTCGTCGCGAAGCGAAGTGAACAAGGCACTGAAACGTGCTCGGAACCACAGATGAGAGGACTCGCCATTTCCAACTCGTCCCACATCCGCGAAGCACATAACTCCCTTGCGCGGTAAGCACAGCCCTTCCTGTTCCATACTCAACCGTGCTTCATACTCATGCGGGGAACTTTTCATCTCGGCCGACGGTCGTAGCCCGGCAGACATCCGCGGCGCATATCACGCACTGACCACTGCCGCGCTCGAGTCTGCCAAAGTGAGGGCCAAAGAAGCCAAGGCGGCGAGCTCGCCGCCAGCGAAGAAGCGCAAGACCTCCGTGAGCTCGTCACGCACGAAGCGCAAGGCCGCCTCCGCGCGCGAGACGGAGAAACTAGACGCGTACCACTACATCGGATACGTCCCCGCCCACGGCAGAGTATGGGAACTCGATGGGTTGCGCGCAGCTGGGCCCTTGGACGTCGGCGAGATTCACTCTGATGACGCGGCTTCGGAGTCCCGTGCGGGGTGGATGGATGTCGTAAGGCCGGTGCTGCAAAGGCGCATGCAGCGAGTGCTGGAAGGCGGCGGCGAAGGACACATTCAGTACAACTTGCTCGCGATCGTGGACGATCTATACCTCGGTGCAAGCGACGAACTCGAGTTGCTGAAACGGGAACGCGCGGCGCTGGAGCGGAGGCTGGGAGGATGCTTCCCTGACGGATGGGCAGACAAGGTGCGTGCCGCCCCTCATTTCCCCCTCTTTCCCGCAGTGCATTCGTGCTCCGGGAGGTTATAAAGCTTGAACACCGCGGTGACGCGGGCTAGGTCGATCCGGCGTTGCTAGCATCCGCGGCGCAGACGTTCGCGACGACGCTGCGGCCGGCCGCGGGGGAGCCTGGGAAGGTATTCGCGCAGGACTTCGGGTCGCGCAAGATGTCAAAGGAGCTCGCGATCCTCGACATGCCCGAGTGCAACCTCGTGCCGGCATGGGAGCGCTGCGTGCGGGATGCGCTCTCGGCGAAGGTCGCCGTCGAGGAGGAGATCGAAAAGTCACAAAGAGCGCAGGTGTGTGGTGTTTGTTACGAAGTGCGCGCGTTGCTGTGTTTCCCGTGTGGGCTGACGCGGTGTGGTGTTGGATCTGGGCTGGTGTAGACGGACAATGTGAGAAGAACGTTCGACTACGAGCCGTTCATCAGGGAGTTTGTGACGTGTCTCCACAACGAGGGCCTGCTGGAGGGCGCGCTTGGAGACCGTGCGCCGCACACCGATCCAGAGCCGGCGGGAGGCGTGTCCTCGAAGGCGAAGGGGAAAGGGAAAAGGAAGTAACATCGGTTTTGGCCTCTTCGCTGCTGCGTTCCGATGATCTTCGGGGCATTCCCCCCATCCTCCACAATCGAACGAGCTGCTTGAAAAAGGGTGACTACGTAAAAAAGCCAGATTTCGGTATGTGCATATCCCAAACCCATACAGTGTCTGTGGATCCTAGGGAAGAGACCGGAAGGTAGGACCATGGTCCGCACGGCTGGGTGTTCAGCTTCTGGTGGCGAGACAATCGCGGGCTCTTCCTTCGATAACAACGTACATTGTTGCCTTGCCCTATGGTACACACTGACCGTCCCAGCTGCCGTGATCACCGTGTAGAAAAACAGCAGTCAGCGTCGCAAACGCCTCACTACCACGTTCGTTCTCCTCGAAGACCACGGCATTAACGGATTATGGACGGTGATAAAATACCGACTATGGCTCCTTCGCTGCTAAGCTCATCGGTACCTTGTAGGTAGCGCGATAGTCTCAGCAATCGAATAAGCTCATGGAGCATTTAGTATCCACGATTCCCCGAGCTAAAACGTTCACACAGAAGGTGCGGAGGTTACGGTCGGTGCTCGCGGCCGAGCTCAAAGCACCTTGGGCCTTTCTCTTCCCTGCCTTCGTTCGACTCATGTTTGACCACTGAAAGCTGTCTAAGTGTCTTGTTGCAGAGCGGCGCAGGTAAGATAAGATCGAAACTTATCTTACATTGGATTCTTCAAGCTAACAGCTCATCGAGCCGCTGCAACGAATATTGATCTGAGAAATGCAGGCACACACCGGTCCGAATGGAAGTCGTCCTTCCGCTTCACCTTGCGTCGTATGCACTTCGAATCAGCGCCAGAAGGCTTCCCTCTCAAGATTGACACCGACCGTGCGCGCAACCGAGAGCACACCCAGACACCTGCCCCTGAACCCATTGGCGAACACCATTCATACAATCCGGATGGGAACAGCTTACAGGAGGCGTTCATGCATCATGGTTGTCCCCTGAGCCCATCGGCGAACATCCGGGCTCACGTTCGCTGGTCGTGATCCAGGGTACAACTGGCAGTAGACTGGCACGTACTCCGGTCTTCAGCCTGACTATTTTGAACGATCTGGATGCATGGAGTACGCCACATCGAACATGTCGCATGCGAAGAGGAGATGGAATTCTTTCGTCCCGCCGCTTCGCTGCTTGGGCGAAGTCTACGCCGGTGTCTTCCCACTCCTCACCGCTGGTGTTACCACTGAACTTCTACATCTGGAAGCTTGTTCTCCACACTCGCGAAACATGTGTCATACAGATACACTCACCAGTTATACCAGCCGTAATATAGCGGTACGCATCCGGACACCAACATTCTGTCATACCGCGTGAACCAATCGCAGTGGCACTGCGTGGTGACGGTACTGGCTGTCCCCGAACGAGCGTCCTCCGTCAGATGAAACACGAACCATCCTCGCACCCGATCAAAAGCCGCTGCTATTGGCCCATATTGTTTTGGTAGTTACCCAACGGCAGTGGACGAGTTTGCACGCGAACGTTGTGGCGCAGGCTGGGTCTTCTGAGTATAGTGCCCGCATCTGCCAGATGTTCGCTGACAGTATCAATCTCAACCGATTTTTAGCCTGAATGACAGACGGATGTTGGGAAACCATCGTCCTGTCGGACGAAGTAGAGTTCTAGTGAGCAAT